TAGAACGCAATAGGTGTATCAATTGTTAAAGACTGATGTCTGTCAACCATTGATTGCAAGATCTTTTAATAGGTTTTAATAAAACATTAGCGAGTAGGTTAAGTACGTTGTTCTAAAATGTTCTTTTAGGTCAAAAGAAGAAATACAGTTCAGTTCCCCTTTTGATCAGTAAGAAACATGTGCCTCATGAGGCGTTTTTATCGTAAGGACTAAGCGACGCCTGTGAAGGTAGCTTGTTCTTGAGCACTCTGTGCTGTAATCTTTTGAATCGTTTGGTCCCCTTTGGAACAGGGATTGTAATCTCTAGAGCTTGTGTGACGTTCAGGAGTCGAGTTTTAAACCTAAGTTGCTCGTAAAGAGTTAAGTCTTTCTATGACTTAAGGAGCTGTGTAGCTCCGATACATTCCTCCGCGGTCGTGACTTGCCCTCACACCCGTTCCATTTCTGAGCTTGCATATGTCCTTTTCCTTGTGCTCCTCCACTCTTGAGCTCCTCGAACACCTTTGATCGTCTTTAATCTTTTCTTACCCGATACGCACGAGAGCGCGCAGTGTCATGAGCTTCGCCGCGTCCAACGTCTTCGTAAGGAGGTCTGCGGTCATCTGCTTCGACCTGACGTAGCTCGCCGCGATGATGCCGCGACGCGAGTAGTCGAAGAGGAACTAAAGGTGCACATCCACGTGTTTCGCCTTCAGCGACTATGCCTCGCCCGCTATCTGCGCGATCTCCGCTTGGTTGTCCACCCGCAACCGCATCAGGAGCGCGGGCTCCACGCCCACTTTGCGCAAAATCTCTCGCAGGCCGAGCATCTCGCGCGCGACCTCACTCGCCGCGACAATCTTCGCCTCCATCGTCGACAGAAAGACGCCTCCCTGCTTCCACGCGCCCCAGCTGACGGCCACCTTGTTCAGCATCACGATGTCGCCCGTCATTGACTTCCAGTCCGTCTTCTCGGTGGCATAATCGGCGTCGCTAAACGCTTCCAGGGGCATCGCCGCACTCGGGTTGTCCGCTGGGATCATCGCGACCTTGAACAAAGCCGTACCCTTAAGGTACCGCGCGACACATTTCGCCAGCTTCTAGTATGCCAGTCGAGGTGCTTGTCAATTGACCTTGTGCCTCGCAAACACTATGTCGGGGCGCGTGCAACGCGCCAACAAAAGCAGCGAGCCGACCAGCGACTGGAACTGGCGCAGTGTCGGTCCTGGTCGCACTCTTGGCGTCCTAAGAAGCTCCTAGTCGCCATCCTCCAGCTCGTAGCAGCTGTCGTTGATCGGCGTCCACGTTGAGTTGGCGTCGGCGAGACCGTTGTCGCGCAGGAGGTCTCCGATGGCCTCCTCCTGATCGAGCGTGTATATGCGCTAACCGTTGTGCATCACGCGCATGCCCAGGAATTTGCTGACACGCCTCAGGTCCTTGATCGACAACGACGCGAGGCTTGCAAAGAATCGCTCAACCGCCGCCGCGCTCGTTATTGTGGCGAGGTGATCGTCGACATACACATCGATTACGACGAGGCCGTCGCCGTCGCGCTTCCAGTAGAAGCACATGTCGCTCTTTCACCGCGTGAAACCGGCAGCAGCGAACTATGAGAGCAGCATCTGGCTCCACAGCCGATCTGCCTACTTGAGCCCAAACAGGCTCGTCCGTCGCTCCAGCACCAGCTCACTCGCGTTCGCAACGCATTGCGCTCGCAGCGTCTCCTCCGAGACCGGCATTCCGCGAGGCATCTGTAGAAAGATTCGAAGGTGTGGCTCCTTTTCCGCTTTAACGTACGCGTTGGGGTGTCGCCGTGCTTGGCAGGCACCCCTCCACGTAGCCGCAAGCGCCGGGATCGCTTCGACCGTCGACATATCCATCACGGCAGCAAAGGTGAACGTGCAGTCGACACCGAGCACCTGCTCGTTACCACACGCCACCAATCTCTCCTTCAGCCGCTCGGGGTCTCCCTGAGCATCCGTCTTGGTTTTGCAGACCCATTTGGTGTGCAGCGCGTGCGTCCCTGGCGTTCGCTTTGTAATCGTCCAGACGTCGTTGGCCTCGAGCGCCGCGATCTCCTCTTGCATCGCCTTCTCCCACCCTTCGCACTTGCCGCTGCGCATCGCGTGATGACGGGTCGCGCGCCATGGGTTCGATCGTGTCGAACACGAGGTATCCAAGTCGCTGGTGCCAGCTCAACAGCGAGGCTTCGTGCGGCTAATAGGAGTTGGTTTCCGTTGCACTCGTTTCGAGCGCCGCCATGGTCGCGTCGCCGCCTACACCCTCCTTGTTCCGCGCGGCCGTCGTCACGACATACAGCACGTTGCTGTCGATCGCGCCATCGAAGGCAACCGCACCATCGCTGCGCCGATTGAGCGCCTGTCGCCGTAGTTCATGAGGGCAAACCCTTTGTTCTCAAGTTTGCCGAGCGACACAATGTTCTTTGCCAGTCGCGGCGCCAATCACACGTCCGTGAGCGTCACGACCTCCTCCGTGCTGCGCGCGAGAACCTCGAGGCGCACGCTACCGACACGAGTCATGTGTAGCGACTCGTCGTCTGCCTTTCAATCTCGTGGCTACAAGCCGTCGAGTTGAGAAGCAGCGACTCACCTTTGACGAGATGCCGGCTACCGCCGCTGTCGAGGATCCAGTCTCCTCGGTCGGCGCCCGCGGTATTGGCCATCACAAGCACAAATCCACACGTGCCTTCCGTGGCTCGCGCTCCATTTCTTGCATTTCTCGCTGCGGTGTCCTTGCCGCGCGAGCCTTTAATCTTCCTGTTGCGCTTCTTCGCGGTCGCATTGCGCTTTTAAATCAGCGCGAGGATCATGCCGGCGCATCCGCCCTTCGCGGGTGTCCCGTCGTCGTGCACGACTATCGCGCGACAGTCGGTCGCTATGTGCCCCGGTCGCCCGCATCGGTAGCACGTAATCGTGCCCTTGGGTTTTCTTTCCACGTGCGCGGCGACGACCTCACGACCCACTGCGCTGCTGCCGTTCTCGATGGACTGCGAGAAGTGCGCCATCTCCTCGGCGTGGCGCAGGTGGTTGACTAACGTGGGATCATACTTGGATTGTATCTCGTTCATCATCTCCGGTGAAGCGTGGTGGAGGATGTTATCGAGAACAAGCAAGTCGGCACCACCACGCGCCTCGCTGACGGCGACCATTTACAGGAAGTGCTCAGCCTAGGTGCATCGTGCGATTTCTTGGCCATGAATAACTTTATCGCCGGCTCGCAGTGATTGACGTCTTAAATGTGCGCAGAACATGCTATAATGTACTCCAGAGTGGCTGTCTGCGTCCACCAGGTGTCGACCTGCTTGTGATAGTACCTCTTAGCCGGCCGGCGAACAGACGCCCAAGCAGGTCGACCTTGATGTCTTCGGTACATCCAAAACCACACGATGCTTCCGCGAGGCTCACCGCGCGCAGAAAGGTGCGTCCCTAGTCGAAGAATTCGCTCCCGAGCCCGCGGTACATCTCTGTACCATCGAACTTGCGTATGGTCAACTTCTGCTGGCTTGCCGATGGCATCCCATAGCCGTTGAGGCCCGGGCGCCCATAAGCCTGCGGCGGAGAGGCTTGTTGCTGCGGCCGTGGTGATACAGCATACGCCTGCGGAGGTGGCGCATACGCTGGTCCGCGCTGCGGCGTCTGCGGCGCTGAGCGCACGCGGGAAGTCTCTAGCGACGCAAATCGCGACGCTACAAGGTTGGTACCCGCGCAACGCCGGTGCCTTTTCCTCCGCGTCTCCGATCGCGTCGATTGTCATTGGTATACCGCGCATGTTGGCGCCGAGTTTCGAGGCAAGCAGACAGCTCTCCACGGCCCCGAGCATGCGCTCCTCCTCATCTCGCACGCTCTGCGACATCTCGCGGCTCGCCAGTCGATCCGTGAGTGCGGCGAGCGCGGCAAGGATCTTATCGTCTCGCTGCCCGCTCTCGCGAGCGGATCCATCCTCGACGACTGCGGGTGCAGTGGGCGCTCGCGCTGGCGAGCCGCGTCCAGGTGAGGCTCGAGGGACACCCCCTGGTGTCTTCGTAGTCGGTTTGGTGACTCCGGCCATTGGGCTCATAAGCTGTAGCCAAGATGCGTGTTGCGAGAAGGAAGCGGTAGGTGAACGACAAGATTCTGTATTCCTTCTTACTAGTTCCCTTTTCTCTGCCGTGCTCGCCAAAGCCCTCTGCTCCAGTCATCTGTCTTGTAACGGGACACACCCCTTGCGTGATCTTAACGCAAGGGTGACGTGTGCCCGAGAAGCGTGCACAGGGCAACCGAGGAAGCGGTAGGCAAAACAGAACCCGAAAGCTCTGTCTTGAGGGAAAAGTGGAACTGTTTATTTAATAGTTATTACGCTAATAAATTATCTTTTGACTTTCTCTAACTATATTAAATTATCTTCTCCTATGTGGGTCCCTTGCTCACCACCCATTGCGCGCGTCCAGCAGCGATTGGCGGTTGAGTTGGTCGATGTACACCGTACATCAACCGAGAAGTGGACCCCTCCACGGATATTATCCTAAACAATAATAATCCGACAACATCACTCATTTCGAGTAATGTTGATTGAATATTATCAAAACAGATGATATTCAAAAATTGGTACTTTCGTACCAATTTTTTTGCATCGGGCTCACCCCAGGACATGTCTCGCACGCATTCTGACTTTACCTGAATACAACCGCTATTCTGCTTGTCACTCTGCACTCACCTTTTGCACACATTGAGCTTATGACATCATGGTCCCAAATAAACCCCAAGTCACCGGCCGACCACTCCGATCGCCTTTTCGTGCACTCGCACCCATTTCCAACAGTTCCAACATCGACAAAATCACAGAAAGACTGACCGACTGACCGACGCTGCGGAGCGTGCGTGGCAGCCGTTTCCACGAATCTTCTTTTCACTCCGCCGCGTCACCCGATCTTTATCGGCTGCCCCTTTTCCACCCAATGTGGTGTGCGCGGTAGTGGTACTTCAGGCGCCCAACGGCTCACGTCCGTCCAGTCCTTCTCGACAATGAGCGACTGCCCGCCGTCGCCGCAACTCTCAGAGGCGGCCGAGCGACGCCCACCTACTGCTGTCGCCAGTTGCCCCTCGTCCCCCGCCGCGTCCCCTGCGCCAGCGGTCGCTCGTGACCAGTTGGACCACTGTAATGGCCAGCGCAACGTCTACAAGTTTGGCGCAACAGCTCTTTGTCGTCCCGCGCGCTTCTGTGACCTCATCCACGTCGTGCGGACCGAACGCGCGCGTGTCGCAGCTCTGGTCGTGTCTGCGATGGATCCCACGCCCGCGCAATTGCTCCGAGCGGTGGCCTTTGCAGCCGCAGGCGACGCGTCGAGCGCTCTAAACGTCGTCGACAAGCTGCAAGCCGAGACACTGTCCATTGCGACCGCCACACTGCGAGAGCTGCACGTCAAGCCAGTGGACGACATGGAAGCGCTGATTGTTGGCTTGTGGACGCCGTTGCGGGAGCTGCTCGTTGGGATGAGCCTGTTGCAGGAGCAGACGGCGCCAGCGACGGACGCAGTGCTGGCGTTTGGCGAACAGCTGACGGCCGCGCTAGTGGCCAGGCTCTTGACGCAAGCTGGTATCGACGCGCTCTACGTGGACGCGCGAGACTGGCTACTGACGGACGAGACGCACGGTAGTGCGAACGTGCTGTTTGACGAGTCCAGGACGAAGCTGCGACAGCAGAGAACGGGCTGGAGCCCCGAGGTTGTGCCAGTGATCACAGGCTCTATTGGCTGTACGCGGAATGGCCGCACGACGACGCTAGGACGGAATGGAGCCGACTACACGGCCACGCTCGTTGGCGCTATGCTTCGTGCCGACTACGTGGTGATCCACACGGACACTGCGGGTGTCATGACTGCGGATCCAGACATTGTGGACCGTGCTGTGGCGCTGTCGCATCTGAGCCACTACGAAGCACTGGAACTGGCGATGTACAGTACGCGTATGTTCCACGCTCGCACGATGGTGCCGCTGATCAAGAGCGGCGTGCCGATGTTCATTCGCAACATGATGGACCCAAGCGGCCGTGGGACGTATATCAGTGCCGTCGGTCGCACGGGTACGCACGAGACGTGTACCACGTCGTTGGAGCATCTCGCGATCATCGAGGCTCGTACCCGCATTTTGCAAGATGGCAGCAGCCGACAAGCGAACATCGGTGCTCGGGTCACGAAGGTACTGGAGGCGCTTAGGATTCCCGTGTGGCTCTCGATTCGTGGCGCACATGGACAAGCTATAAGTGTGGTGGTGCCATTGGACAAGGAGGTACAAGCTCGTGCAGCTATTGATACCGAGTTGAGTGCTGAAATCGCGTCTCACGAGGTAGACTGTGTGAACTCGGAGTCGCCGGTAACGATGCTTTCCATTGTGACCGAAGACCTGTCCAAGGTGCCGCACCACCGGACAAGATTTTTTGGATCTCTTGCTGACGCTGACATTGAAGTGTTGGCTGTCGGTCAAGGCACGAGCCTCCGCTCTTTGAGCTGTGTCATTCGCGGTATTGACACCAAAGTGGCTGTGCGTCGCGTGCACGATGCTTTCAATGTGGACTGCCTCGTGACGAACGTTGTGCTGCTGGGCTGCAATCACATTGCATTGGATGTTGTCCATCAGCTCCACAAGCTGCAAGAGCGGTACTGGTCTCAGCACAAGGCACGCGTGAACATTGTTGGGTTCAATCCCAACTGCGACGACTTTTTGTATGACCCCAAAGGTTTTGCGTATGAAGAACTCGCCTCTTGCTTGGAAGCTTGCAGAAGCACGAATGCCGTGATGTCCGCGTCATCTGCAAATGAGCCGACGCCGTATGCTGGTGCTCCTTCGCTTACGCACTTGAACGAGCTGCAGGATTTGGCGATCCCGATCGTGCTCGACTGTTCTGGCCAGAGCAACACACAAGACTTGTATTCAGCCTGCATTGAACGCGGCATTCACGTTGTTGCCTCCAACGCACGCTCGGTATGTCGCCTTCCGTCTACTTTATGGCGTGAAAGTACTGCCACCACGACTCGCACCGAATCTGGTCGTACGTTCTTCATGCACACGTCGACGGTCGGTGCAAGTTTGCCTATCATCGACACCCTTGGCAACATCTTACGCACAGGTGACCGCATACTTGGTATCGATACGTCCTTGAGTGGATCGATGAACTTTGTCGCGAATGAGGTGATGAAGGGCAAGAAGCTGTCGGAAGCTGTCGGAGAGGTGCTTTGCAGGGGCTACTGCGAGCGTGATCCGCGCGAGGACTTTACTGGTACGGACATGGTTGCAAAAGTTGTGGTGCTGGCTCGTGCTCTCGGTGTGCATCTGCACGAGAGTGAAGTTCGGGTGGAGCCGTTCATTCCACATAGCGTGCTTGACACGATCGCGTGGTCTCACGACATGGAAGTGGACGACATTGTCACTGGACTTGAGGCGTACGATGAGGAGTTTCGTGAGAGATATTACATGCCAGCTGTGTCGGAGAGCAAGCGTCTTTGCTACGTTGCATCCATCAACTTGGCTGGATCCCTGTCGATCGAAGCCACGATCCGGCCTCTGCTTGTCAGCGAGGATCACCCGGTGTACTACACCAAGGACAATGAAGTCGCGTTTGGTGTCTCCTCCGTGCAGTACCCGAATCCGCTAGTGCTCAAGGGCTCCGGGACGGGTGCTTCTGCGAGTGCTACTGGCGTCCTCCGTGACGTTCTCACGATTCTGAGTAGGCTCAGTGGGAACAATGTTCGCGCATGAATTTGTGACTGCAGACGAGTGCAGTACGACTGTAGATCCTTCCTTGACTACTTGACGTGGTAAGGGAGGGGCACTTGACGCAACCGATCCACGTTCCGGTTCCGCTCGGTGTCACTGGCTGTCGTGTTCCATTCCGATTGTATGCTCATCAATAGACTTGATTTTGCCAAGCCACAGAGCAGTGCTGCTGACGGTCTTTCGATTGACTCATGCGTCACGCAATGTGTGTATTGTTGCAGCGTTTTGTCTCGCTGGGACCGCATTATCACTGGGCGCTGAGTGACGTCTGATTTTCCGAAGGTCAAGTGATGGCTGGCAAGTAGCGTGGAATACATCAAGTGTCGCGATTGCTGGAGTACTGATGCGGACGTGGCATCTCAATCGGCAGGTAGAAGTAGGGTGACCGAAGACAACACCGGTGGGAAGACATAACTTGATGAGTCTCGATAGCCTGTGTCGCGCTGTGGGTGCTATGGAAAGGAAAGCTGAAGCGAAGACACGACCATCGGAGCAAGAGGAGGATCTAGAGCAAGAGGAAGATCTGGAGCAAGAAAAGGGACAAGTGGATCAGCTTGTGTGCAACAATCGGCACAGGTGCTCGTGCTGACGGAGTAGCTACCGGCTGACGTGCACTACGGTGGCCCACCTATATGACAAGGCGATGCACTAGTGTCATCCTCTGCAGTCTGACGGGTACGAACAACGTTGAACGGCGCGTTCGGCATTGTTGTCCCATCGAAGACTGAACGGGCCGTCGTGCGTATGGTGCTCGCGGGACGGTTGCTGAAGCGTCTGACGATATGGATTTGACAGTAGACGCGAGGTATGTGCAGCACCTCAGAGTAAAAAAAGTGTCAGCAGAGATGACGACACTATTTGTCGTAGCACCTGTTGTGACCGTCGCGAGTGCCGTGGACTAAATTTGCCCGAGGCCGTGTTGCAGTGTTTGGGCGTACTTTTGCAGACTCGAGACAGACAACGTGGATGGTGGCGCAAGGTCCGACCTTCGTGCCACAGGACCAACAGACGGCGTCATCTGGTAGCTTGCGACAGTCGCCGACCGAGCGGTCGGACAATTTCGCGTGGCAGTCGGACTCACAGCACTGTTGTCATGAAGGCTCATGTACTCGATAGAGAACAGGTTGAGACCGCGGCAGACAATGCAGCAGATGTCGGCAAGAAGCGTCAATGTATACCCGGGTAAGGCAGCATATGGAGCTACTACGCAGGAACGCGTATTCCAAATTTGACTTGTCATAAGGTCATGTCAACGAGACGTCATCGGCCAAGTTGCGGAAGGTGTGACTGCGCTTCTATCCGATATTCTACGCAGTCGACACAAGGACCTGGAGTCTAGCTTAACATAGTCCAGTGATCGAGCTGCCGATGGTATGATCCCGGTAGTAAGTTGGTGGTGCTCGTCAGGTTATCTGATGATGGGTCAGCCTACTTTTGAAACGAATACACTCGTCGACTTTGGACGTGCAGCAGACGCATCTACAGCACAACATATGTAAAGATTCTCTATTTGCTCTGCATCTTACCTATGTTCATGAAAACTAGGTATTCTGCTAGCCTGCGCTGACCAAGTCTGATACAAAAAAAGGGTATATGAATTTTGCTCTAGTCAGTTTATGTAGGCTGCCAACAGGCAATTGCACGCTGAGGTCTCAGCCAAGAAGTAGATTTTTTTTGTCCTAGCGCTTTATAAACTTGCTCGATGATTGTCGTCGTAATGCTCAGTCGGCCCAAAGGGATTCTGGTTCAAATTGCTCGGCGTCTTCACTTCCGATGTCTATGTCTCCAAGCGAAATGTCTCCAAGCACCTTGCGAAATCGTTATGTAAGCTGGGCATTGTGCCCATTACATGTCTTAACACCCTAATGGGTCAATAAAACTTTTATCTAGATCGATCATATTCTTCAAATCCTTCAATACGAACTCGATTAAGTAAATATTGCAGCAATATTGCTCTCACAGGTACCATTCGATACTGCTCAACTCATTGGTGGATATAGGCCATCATATCGACCAACTAAACTACCAATCGCTGCTAAACGCGCGTAAGTGGTGGTGGGCGAGTGGCTCGATTTGACGTTTGTAGCTCCATGTAGTCCAAGTAAAATCAAATGAGATCAGAGGAGGAGATTTATCTGTAATAATTGCATATCTGCTTTTTCTTCTTCTGAACGTGTCCGTTCAAGAAATTTTTTGTTTGGATGGAGTCAACTGCGATTGATCGGATTCTTCAAGATGAAGGACTTTTGATATACGAATGCGGATAAGTGTATGTTATCTCTTGTATGCAACGACGGAGGTGCATGGAGCGACACATAACAACTGGGACAATATGCCGAGCAAGATCAACGGTGGAGACCAACCAGAACTGCTGGTCTAATTTACTCTCAAGCACATCCAGCTGAACCGAATTCACTCAGGTCGAGACTTGTTTATACAATACTTGAATGTGCTCGGCAGTTGTAAATCGCTCGTCGATGAGACCCATATCGATGACGCCTAGTGTCACCATGTCTTTGCGGCGCGTATAATGGTCTTGACGCTAGAGTCGTCTTAGTCAATTTTCGTGCCCCATTATATTACTAATACATCAATTCTCCACACGATACAACTCGAACGCAATGCGTTATATTTGTACAATCGTCATCACCGGTGCTGCCATAGTCTCAGGAACTATGATTAATTCCTTTCGTTGTATGATATACATACGCTACCTCTGCCATGATCGCGAACAAAAAGTGGTCGATTACGATCGTACATCACACCTGCATAAGAAGACTTGATCTCTCATCTTCGGACATGTTTGGAAGAAGAAAAGTACTCCCCAATCTGCAGAGCAGTGATGATTTGGTCAAGGTGGATCATAAATAGATCACGTCTGGTGAATGCACGCAGAGACTAGAGTGAGATATCGCCCCTCCTTCTCCCTCCAGATGGAGTCCAGCAAATGGAGGCAATAGCGCCAAACGAAGCGGCGCCGGGGGGTACCAAATTCTAACGTCGTAAGTAGAGACGGCATCCAAACCTGACGGCCGCGCGGACGGAGACACGCTACGTCATAGATGTTGCCACTAAATTGCGATAGAGAAGCACCGAGCCGCACTCATAGAACGTTCGATTAATCAGCGGCGCTTTACTAAGCGACCATGGATTGTGATTTTTCAGAGCCAAGTCATTATGACCGCTTGTATCTTGAAGGCTCCGTGCGATAGAAGACATATGATCCGATACACTGGTGACAACGTACTGGTTGACCAGTACGGAGCTCACTTCCACTGACAACAGTGATAGTCAGTGCCCAGCGAAGTGTTGCATTAATACAGAGGAAGGAAAGGAGACTAAGTGAACACTCTAGTCTCTGATAAAAGTTAAACTGTTATTTAATACAATTAAGTCCTATCAATCTTATGTCTCTGTTTATCCTGACTTAATCATATTATTCTAACTGAACGTATGATGACGTCTACTCACCACCCATTGCGTGCGTCTAGCAGCGATTGGTGGGTTGATATCATCACGATATCAACCAATGAGTATACCCTTCGGTCATCTTCAACAATATTATCATGCTCTGTGATATTGTTGAAAGAATATCCAACGTAATATTCTTTATTGTCATTTTAGCCTTAGTGACAATATCATGTAACGAACTACCCCGTTACATCACCCCTCCCTTAACTGATAGTCACCGTGTGACTATCAAAACTTTTGTGGCCACACCTTGGGATCCAATGGGACGGAAAACACTTGTTGTTCAGAACCATTCATTCTGACTTTTCCTCGCATAATTTACATGTCTATGCGGGGTGATTCAAAGACGACACAGTCTGCTACCGTGCCAGCCTCTGCTGCAGGCGATTTGTCGTCTGCTGCTCGTTCTCTGCCTGTCGCAATTGTTGCTGCAGGCGCATGTGGTATCACACTCCATGCACACAGTGACCTCATGCTAGGGGTCAGCTACTCTGGCGAGTCAGATGTGTCTGACTCGCAAAAGCCTTTAGAGGCATCGCGCTCACCCGCGGTGCCTTGATCCCCAAAAAATCTGCCGAACGAACGAAATCGCGACATGCGTCACAGTCTGTTCGGCAGTGATGATGAATATGGTGATGAGCATGAATACTCATCACCGCGATCAACTCGTGCGCCCTCGCACGAGCGCGTTGACGATGGCGCGAGCCGTCGTCATATTGGAACCTGTGGTACCGGCAAAGACACCACGTCGAATCGTGATAAGCTGAATCCGTGTCGTTTGCCTGAACAGCTCATTAATGGCTTGTCTCACGAGACAAGTCAACATCACCGGATTCCATTATTCGATGCAAGCGAGCTCCATGGATTGAGCTCGAGCGTGAAGAACTTTCGCGCTTAAGAGGACTTCTATCTCGATGCGTTCCTCAAGCATCAATGGGGCGATGGTAACCAAAAGCGTGACAAGGCTTCGCTTTTGGCTGCGTGGAACGCGTTCGTCCAACATGTCAAGAATTTTGGACGAGAAGGATGGCTCCAAAAACTTGAGGCGATACGCCTCAGGTTCGAAAAGCGAAATCCAACCGGTGCAAGGTACCGGCTGCATCGTTTGTCGAGTGAGGTAGTCATTCCTTGCCTCACTTGGGGTGGTCCTTGTGAGAGTTGTGTTGACAACTTGAAACGTGCACATAGGGATGTTTATTACCTAAGTTCGCCCTGGGGAAGGGCACACATCTCGGCTGAGATGCAGGACGCAATTGAAAACTTGCAATCCGTCTACAAGCGCCAAAAGCGCGTGTTTACCGATGGGCCCGAGGACCTATCGGATGAGTCTCGCCATACTAGTGGACGAGACCCTTCACATCAGCCATCAGCTGGAATCGAGGTTCCCAGCTGCCACACGATGATGGATACCCACGCCAGCGGACAAGGTGACTTGTCCGCTCCCCGTTCTTCATGCGGTAGCTCAATCTACGCCCCACGTGAAAGAGTCGACCACCGTGGGAATCCACTAT